TTCTTTAGGTGGTTGGAATTTCGAACTGAACCCTTCATTTCGATCACCAACGCCTTGTGTCTCTCAAGGACACATATGTGTCCTTGAGGAGACATGGCACAGTGGATAAAGGCGTTGGTTAGATCCAGAGACAGACCCAAAAAAGGTGAGTTCAATACCTGGTTAAGTCAGTAGAGAACTTTCAGAGGGAAAATTAGCAGGAGATAACTGATAACTGACATCCATCAAACATGGCACGTGGAACTAGAACAGTCTACCCCAGTGATCGAAATAAAGGGTTCAGTTCGAAATTCCAACCACCTGAAGTAGGCCGGAGCGTACAACGGCCAAAACGTTGTGACAAATATGGCGACAAAGATGAGGACAATAGTCCGACTAATGTAAATACTGTACATAATACCTTCTCTCAGAAATATAGACAATAAAATATATATATATATATATATATATATATATATATATATATATTAAAATCATGTAATATCCTAAACTAAATTATATATATATATATGTATAATTTAGTTTAAGATATTACATCGACATGACGAAATCGCTAAACAATTGCAGTCGTGTTTCGAAGCGTATCAACTCATCTCATCAGGCGATTGCAAATTACTGATTAATTTACAATCGACTCATGAGACACGTATCAACGCATCGAAACACGACTGCAATTGCGTAGAGATTTTGACATACTTTTTAATATAATACCCGAAAATAAATAATATTGCTCTACTTTGCATTGAGCCCTCTTTCAAATTAAATATTACGAACATTGTACGAACATTTAACCTATATTTTATTATATATATATATATATTATATATATATATATATATATATATGATCGATTTCACCTCATGCAAGGCAGTAAAACCACTAAAACGCAAGGAGTTATTGGGTGTGGAAACATTACTAATGTGTGAGAATAAAAAGTGTAATCTGGAGGACAGGTGATAAAAATTGATGTTGCATTTATAGTTTTGAAGGTCAAAGTATGGAGCCGGAAGTCTCACGGGCGAGAAGTGCGAGAAAAGAAACTGTTAGCATAGAACTTACGGTTACATCTAGCCAGGTCAATTGTAAATTGGTGAGATCTCGACGCCATTCTCGTATTGCGCATAAATTCAAAAAGTCATTAACATGAAAATATTTATAGAAAAGGCAGAAGGCGCTAAATTTACGGCGGTGGGAAAGTAACCAAATCCGAGCCGCCAGATTAGGACCAATAATATTGCTGATTCTTCTTTGGATTTTACCAAAGAGCTCTGGATAAGTAGCAGAAGCACCGGATCATATGCGGCAGCAATATTCTAAGTATGGACGAATGATAGACTTATAGATATGTATGATAGATTCTGGAGAGAAAAATTGTCTTGCACGACACAGTGAACCAACTTTCTTAGCAGTGTGTGTGTGTGTGTGTGTAATAGAGAGAGAGAGAGAGAGAGAGAGAGAGATAGAGGAAGAGAGATATTAGGTTGGCGCAAAACTAATGACGTAATAATGTCGTTTTGTGACGTATTTTTTAATGTCAAAAACGACATTATTACGTCATTATTTTTGCACCAACCTAATAGATATAATGCTTCACGTAACTCAATAAAAACATCGGTGTTTGTCCGGATCAGTTGGTCTTCGTTCATATTTTGATTTAACGAAGACATATACCCCACCCACACACACACACACACACACACACACACACACACACACACACACACACACATATATATATATATATAAGTATCGAAAGTAAACAAAATACTGTGCACCGGATTTTTTTCAAATATCTCCTTTCCTAAAAGAAATACTCCTTTCCTTACCAAATATACATGACTATAAACATGGTAAACTGTTAAAGACAACGGTTAAATCTAAAACCAACAATAAAAAATGAATTTCTGAAACTAAGAAAATATAATCTAAACTATAATTTAAATAATTACATTATCAAAAATAAACAACATTTACTCACTTTAGGTCATTAGACATTAAATTATATCATTTAGTATCCTCCATAGTTTATCTTGACTTACAGTTAGAAGTATATTTATAAGCGTTTTAAATTTGAAAAAATTGGAAAATTAACGAGATTTTTACTTTTGTTTCTAAATTCATGTTGCAAAATAAAAAAACTTTACGTAGATAAAGTGCATCAGTGGACAAAATGCGTTGGTTAAGAAAAAATTTACTTTTGTCTTTATTCATATATATATATATATATATATATATATATATGACGTCATACATTATCAAATGGACTAAGTCCGAAATTTACTTTAATATATTTATTGTTTATACGCTATTTTTTTTCTTTTTTTTATAGATACACATATTTAAATAAATTCTCTGTTGATAAGAAATAGTATTAACTACATTTACCAGCCTGAATGTCCGTGAAATTTCATAAATAACATGTGTCCTCCGACAGGAACAGGGCCTACATCTCACACGGAACCGACACATAGCCTGATGTGCCATACCATTCAGCCACGGAGGAAGCGTCTGGTTAGCAAAGTCGAATTACTGCTTATATATATATATATTATATATATATATATATATATATATATATATATATATGTGTGTGTGTGTGTGTGTGTGTGTGTGTGTGTGTGTGTGTGTGTGCGCGCGTGTGTGTGCGTGTGTGTACAAATATGCATCAGCAAAACCATATAGCATTGGATTGTTTCTGTAATTTTCGATGCCAGTTTTAAAAATTGTCATATATATAAGCTATTCCATCGGATTCACATCCAAAATTTATATATATATATATATATATATATATATATATATATATGTGTGTGTGTGTGTGTGTGTGTGTGTTTGTGTGTGTGTGTGTGTTTGTTTGTGTGTGTGTGTGTGTGTTAGGCAAATTACAAAATGGAAAAAATTGTTCCGAGTTTTATCGTTACAAAAAAGATTAATTCATTTGCTAAATATTGTTCTGATATATGAAATTGTATATATATCACATTCTCACTATATATATATATATATATATATATATATATATATATATATATATGAAGAAATATAGTTTTTAAGGTGTGCCATATTTATGGAATAAAGTGCTCAATATCAGAGATAGAGCGTATGCAAACATAAATATAAAAGTGAACATTGAAGTCAACACTCAGAGGCGACAGGCTGTTTCATGCTAGGCGCAATGTTGACCTCACGATTGCGCCTAGCATAAAATATACATATATATATATATATATATATATATATATATATCGGCATTATATATATATATATATATTTATATATATATATATATATATATATTCAGTAGGAGATAAGATTGTAGTGATCAGGGAAATATCCTGTTGGGGGTCGACTGCACAGGGCAGTGGTGAACGGGATGAATCTGCTCGAGAGGAACTTACTTCTCGCCGATGGAATATGTAAGGAATATGAATGGTTCGTATGTCGTGTTTTGGTGGTGAAAATTTGACTTAGCTGGACTAGCGAATGTAGTTCGTCCGAGCATATTACATGGAAGTAGCGGTAGAGCGAACAGACGCTTGCCACGTATAGCATATGGGAGTGAGGTGGAGAATAATTCGTCACCCACAAGAGCGTGGAAACGCTTTTTGCCCTTATCTATCGAGGATAGCAAGAGCAATCACATACTTACTGGAACGGTATTCGAGTCGAGCATTTTACTGCATCCATAGCATGGATCGTATTTATATATTTCCAATTTTCGGATGAGGTGTTGTGAACAAAGTTGTGGATAAACTTTCCAAAAATGTAATATTTTAACCTCAAATTCGAACAAAATACTCGACATTTTATAATGGGCAAAATAAAGAAAAAAAAAAATTAGGCAGATAAAACTTCTCCGGTTCTTTTTAAGATAACTTATTTGAATATATATATATATATCAATATATATATATATATATATATATATATATATTCAGTGGAGATAGATAGATAGATAGATAGATAAATAGTCAAATCGCCATAGATAGATAGATAGATAGTCAAATCTCCATAGATAGATAGATAGATAGATAGATAGATAGTCAAATCGCCATAGATAGATAGATAGATAGATAGATAGTCAAATCGCCATAGATAGATAGATAGATAAATAGATAGATAGGCAAATCTCCATAGATAGATAGATAGATAGATAGATAGTCAAATCGCCATAGATAGATAGATAGATAGATAGATAGATAGATAGTCAAATCGCCATAGATAGATAGATAGATAAATAGATAGATAAGCAAATCTCCAGAGATAGATAGATAGATAGATAGATAGATAGATAGATAGATAGATAGTCAAATCGCCATAGATAGATAGATAGATAGATAGATAGATAGATAGATAGATAGTCAAATCGCCATAGATAGATAGATAGATAGATAGGCAAATCTCCATAGATAGATAGATAGATAAATAGATAGCAAATCTCCATAGATAGATAGATCAAATAGATAGTCAAATCGCCATAGATAGATAGATAGATAGATCGATAGTCAAATCACCATAGATAGATAGATAGATAAATAGATAGATAGGCAAATCTCCATAGATAGATAGATAGATAGATAGATAGATAGATAGATAGATAGATAGTCAAATCGCCATAGATAGATAGATAGATAGATAGATAGATAGAAGATAGATAGATAGATAGTCAAATCGCCATAGATAGATAGATAAATAGATATATAGGCAAATCTCCATAGATAGATAGATAGATAGATAGATAGATAGATAGATAGTCAAATCGCCATAGATAGATAGATAGATAGATGGATAGATAGTCAAATCGCCATAGATAGATAGATAGATAGATAGGCAAATCTCCATAGATAGATAGATAGATAGATCAAATAGTCAAATAGATATAGATAGATAGATAGATAGATAGATAGTCAAATCGCCATAGATAGATAGATAGATAAATAGATAGATAGGCAAATCTCCATAGATAGATAGATAGATAGATAGATAGATAGATCAAATCGTCAAATAGATAGATAGATAGATAGATAGTCAAATCGCCATAGATAGATTGATAGATAAATAGATAGATAGGCAAATCTCCATAGATAGATAGATAGATAGATAGATAGATAGATAGATAGTAAAATCGCCATAGATAGATAGATAGTCAAATCGCCATAGATAGATAGATAGATAAATAGATAGATAGGCAAATCTCCATAGATAGATAGATAGATAGATAGATAGATAGATAGATAGATAGTCAAATCGCCATAGATAGATAGATAGATAGATAGATAGATAGTCAAATCGCCATAGATAGATAGACAGATATAGAGTGAAAGCTGAAGACATGTATATTACATATTTATGTCATCATATTTTCTCCAGTTTCTCCGTTTAGTCTGTCTATATTTTTCTCTATACTTGTTCTGTGTTTATCTATCTATCTATCTATCTATCTATCTATCTATCTATCTATCTATTACTGCTTAAAAATCTCGCGCGTGTGTTTGCGCGCACACATTCACACACGTACAGGCACGCACATACACACAACCTTCTCCATCCAATCATATACTCTTACAAGCATACATCTCATGTCAAATCCTACATCCACAGGCCGGACGACCTCCGTCTCTCTAACTTATTAGCGTCGTTATTCGCCACTTTTATAGCCATTCTCTCGCTCCTCTTGCATTGTAACGATTTATTATTCTCCTCCTGGCCTGAAGAAAGCTTCTTCTCTTTTGCGTCGGAGACTGAGGCATGGGTCGGGCGGGTGGCGGTTTGGGGGTAGTGTTGTGCTGAACGGCAACGTTGCCCATTTCTCAATTGATCTACAAAGATTCGACGGGCCCAACGCACGGACGGCCGGCCGGACGGACGGACAGCGAAACATGTCGGACGGCCGCAGTCATATTTTACTGACGTATGTCATTGGCTTCTGCCAAAAGTCATCTGCTAGAATCAATGAGGGATAAAATTGTGCACTGACTCGGAACGGGCTCTCCCTCCCTCAACCCCGAATACTTGCCTCACCGCCCATATTCATGCTGACGCAGACATGTGACCACAGTCAGATACGCGGGAGCGCACGCGCTCACACACATCCGTATACATACACATTCACAAATTCATATATATATATATATATATATATATATATATATATATATATATATAGAGAGAGAGAGAGAGAGAGAGAGTGAGAGAAAAGAGAGAGAGAGAGAGCTGAATGCGTTGGTAAACGCATATAGGCATGGATGGAAGTGCACACCCACTTACACATAAATATATGTGTACACTCATACACGCTTATATATATATATATATATATATATATATATATATATATATAAATAAATAGAGAGAGAGACAAAATAACATTTTATCAATTTTTGTTGGATGGATTTCAAAGAATAACTTGCCAATTAATGAATGGAAGGAGAAATCTTTTCTATTTTAGCCAATCAGATTTTACATCAATTGATTCAGTGAAGGAAGCGAGAGAGTTAATGAGATTGTGTATGGAGAAAGAGGCAGATCTGTGTATCAGGATATACTCGTTAATTTAAACAAATATGTCGACGGGAAGTCCGTGATGGAGGCAGCAACAGAAAAGAAAAGATAGAATATATTAATAGAGAAATTGGCGCGCAAACGGTTGATCGTAAACGCACGCACAGGAAAATCCCAATATCCATCTCCCTCTCAACGACTAAACATTCACACATTCACACGTGTAAACTGAAAAAGCTCAACATAGCCAGCTAGTTATTAAGCCTTCTGTTTCTATTCTCAAGGGACATTTTGTGGAATGCTTGCGCCAAAGGTTTGGTCATAGAAGCTTACTCATCAGACTGAACATTTTCGACCTCTCGAAGATTAGCTCTAAAGAGGTGGAACAATCAACGAGCGAGTCGCTATTGTCAATTGGAGTCTGCCTCCACAGAGACGGACAATACGTCACGCATGCGCATTTGGCCGCGTCGAACGCCTGGCTCTCCTGGCCGTGCGCTCTTGCACGACTTAAGTCAACCATTGTAAGAAGTAGAAGATGAAGGCCACCTTGATTTATGACACGTCCGTAATGTTCAGGCCGTTCTTCGAAATGACATTTTTGTCTGCTTTCTTTGAGAACATCGATAAAACCGTTCCCACAGTTATAAGTGACAGGTTAAAGCGTTCAATCAAGCGAATGATTAGTTTTCTTCCCATGCTCCGCCCATCTATGCTCTTCATTTGCCTTATTTACATCGACAAAGTTCATCTCTTTTTAACCTGCCCTTCTTTTCCTTTCTCTCTCACTCATGACGTTTCTTTTTAAGCTGTTGTTGGGCGCGTGTGAACCCGAGAAAAACTTTATACGGACGGACCGGAACAGACGCCGCTTGCAATGTGTTTCCAAAGAAGTCGTAGCAATAAATCTCACTCAGCTTTCGTTGAAATAGTAACAGATGTAATGTTGAAGTCTCCATTCTCTTTGATCAGGCAATGGGTCAAAAGAAAGTGCGTGTGTGAAAGAGAGAGAGAGAGAGAGAGAGAGAGAGAGAGAGAGAGAGAGAGAGAGAGAGAAAGAGAGAAAAGAATCGAACATCAAAGATTTCGATAAGATTACCGATAGCTGAAACTATTTTATTTTATACATTTTTTTCTACATCAGTCAGTTTTTTTTTCTCTTTTAAAATTCCATATTGAGTTCGTTCTTGCTTCTCGCAGACAAAACGCATTGGGAATTAGCAGACAATCATTTTGAAAATTATTGAACTCATACAAAGAATTTGACACTTGCTTTATTATTTTAAAAACTTTTTTGATAACTGGGAGATTTCTTAAGAAGAAAAAAATGGTTCGATGGATCTATCAGAAAATCCAAGTTTTCTGTCCCAGGAAGAATATCGTTCACCCGGAAACAGGAACCTACTATAGTTCAAAATAATTATCTTGTGAATTTTAATTCGCAGGATAATATATATATATATATATATATATATATATATATATATATATATATATATATATATATATATATATATGGTTGGATAGATGTGAGTTTAAATAATTATATATATATATATTTCACACACACTTTTCACACACACACACACACACACACACACACACACACACACACACATATATATATATATATATATATATATATTTCAAACAAAAAATGAAAATAAAATTCACACATTTTATTTTCATTTTTTGTTTTGAAGTAAAGTCTGATGATCCGTAGTCCTTTAAAAGGGCTGTGACGAAATAATTTATTACATGGAACCTTAAAGAAATAAGGAATATATATATATGTGTGTGTGTGTGTGTGTGTGTGTGTGTGTTTGTATTTAAAAAAAGCTGCTCCTATTGCTATTAACGCATTACTCTTCATTAGATTTTGAGTTCTCCGAGCCACTTGCGTATTTCGTATAAAAAAAATAAAAAAATAAAAAAAACGTAAAGATTTCTCTTCCGACCTGCCGCGCGCCAATAGCCGAGGGGGTGGGGATTTGACTGCTCTCAGATCGTTCGGGTTTCGACACGGCTTGAAGCAATCGGACGTCTAGTCACAGAGATATTATGTCTGTGAATAACTATATATGTATATAATTATTTATTTAAAAATATGATTCCAAATCGGTACATAAGAGGTCTCATGTTTCAAAACAAGAGCCGAAAACTTCAATATAATCCTTTAAATTAAATTGAGTTGAAAGTAAAATGGGCTCCGTTCCATCTTCAAGCGAAATTTTTGTTGGAATAACGTATATCTGAAATTTACTTGTTTTAAAATTGAAATCAAAATCCCCATGGTAACAGCTATGGTGAATTGTCTAAATTAGGTAGGCGAGTGTAGGGTGTTTATAATAAGTAGCGGTATAGAGATACTTTCAAGGTGTCAAGTCGGGGAAAGGTGGGGGTGTCTAAAATGAAACGGAAGATGTATTGGCCATCGTCTAGTTTGCTTGTCTATGGAGATTTATTTATTTATTTTATTTTATTCTATTATGAAAGGGAATTGTGCATATAAAAAAAGAAAAACTTTCGTAACGTTTGTTTTTTGACGACTTCATAAAGGGTTATCTTATATGTAAGGTATTTAAACTACTAATTTAGGCTATGGATTATGAAGTGTGTTATGTTGTATGTTTGTAGTTAATTATTCCTACTATGAATCTGATGATTGGGCTATTTGTTAAACAAGTTATATAAATTTTTTTATCTAATAATTCAAACCAAAAATCTGATGATGCCTACAAAAAACCGTTAACTCGTGTCTATTATTTAATAGATTATTATTATTTAGAAGTTTAATAATGTGCAATTTTTCATGGAGGCACAAAGGGCATGGGTCATCCCAAGCTTTACATATTCTAGCCTTGTCAATAATTTTCCAAAAAAAAACCTATAAAAAAGCTTATAAAAAAGCTTATAAAAAAGCTTGCAACAACAACATTAATATGGTTGATAGCATAAACAAAACTAGTAAAAAAATAACTGATAAATTAAAAATCAGCGATAGAGTAGGTAAACTTACTGAAAAAGAATGTTATGAAAAATATATGCGCTCTGTTTTTTATTTTGCCGGCTGCAAAGTATTGTAGGACCAGTTGGGCCCCGTCTGGAGGAAGAAGAGCCCCATAACGCAATTCACTCCGCCAGAAATTTGGGAACGGTATGCTGTACTGCTTGGCATTCGCACCGGAAGAGACCATTTCAAAACGTTTGGGTGTCAATCTGAGGACAGTGCAGAGAATTCGTAAAATGCTGGATGAGTCTAATAGTGATTACGAATTTGTTTGGGGGTGATTACTAGTGATGGCGACATTAGGCCTCCATTCATTTTCCCACATGGCCTCAGACTCAACATGGAAGCCTACACCAAGTGCATTGACCAGGTAGTGCTGCCCTGGGTCAAGAGGGTGGCTGCTGTAAGATCATATGTCTAGCAATAGGATTCTGTACTATGCCACACAAGCAGGAGAACCCAGTCATGGCTATCAGACATCACTCTTTTCATCTGGTCACTTAAATCCACCGATTTCAGCCCATTTGATTATTATGTGTGGGGTGCAGTTGAAGAGAGAACAACAAAACTTCTTGTAACAGCAAAGATGAAATGAAGGCAAGGTTTGTGGCAGCATTCACCAACTTAAACAAGGAGACCGTCCAGAAGAGTTGCAGGAGATTCCGAAGTTGCAGATTTTCCTTGATTTTAAAAGTGGGATCATTCTGCCTTGTTCTTTGAATGTCTCGGTTCAGCGTTGTGACTATGGTGGTTCTTGGATGACCTCTGAACTTTTTGAATTCAGTCTTTTCAAAGTAAAACTCAATGACTTTGTTAGATGGGCATTCTACATCCATTGCAAAATATGTCCAAGAAGTTTCCATCTTGTTTTCAAAATGAACAAAAACAGGTGAGATTCTTGACATTTGCTGGACAAGGTTTTGTTGGAAATATGAGGTTACTTTTTCACCTCTTAGAATCTGAAGTAGTCGTCTGTGGAAACTGTCTAGCTCATGCTCTTCTTTCTTTGTGAGGCTCCAAGTTCCACAGTTGTAGGTTAAAACTGGTTTCGCCAAGGTGTTATACAAAGATCATGGAGTTGGATGTTCAATAGCATTTTCCGAGTATTTCTTTCTCAGTATGCAACGTCTTAAATAAGTAGTTACTGCATAGCACTAACTGGAGCAGCCATTACCTACTCCGCCAAATGACGTCATATGCAACGCTTAAAGAGAGCGAGAGAACAGCGAAAAGAATGCCTTTATATATATATATATATATATATATATATATATATATATATATATATATATATAATATTATTTTGACTTGCGCTCAAACACGACATGGTTCTTGAAAATGACTGAGACGATTGGAACTAGTTGAATAAATCAACAGAACAAACATGAACTTTGAACAGTTTATCCGCAATGTCGATCTCACTATACGAAACTTTATTTGAAAATTGGAAAAATACTTTATAAAAATAAACAGACATACCTTTTGGGTTGCATTTATTCAAACTTTATATATATATATATATATATATATATATATATATATATATATATATAGAGAGAGAGAGAGAGAGAGAGAGAGAGAGATCAGTTTATATATATGGATCAGTGGTGCATTGTGGGTAGTCGATTTATTTATTTGGGTTAATTTATTTTACTTGTTTTTTTTATTTGCATTTTTTATTTTATATATTTATTTATTCTTTTTGGTTTTTGTTGTTTTATTAACGTAGTAAAACACTTTTGGGGATTTGCTTAGGTCACTTATTTAATAGTTTTAAAACTATTAAATAAGTGTTGACTTTAATGTCCACTTTTATATTTACACACGCTCTATCTCTGACATTGAGCACTTTATCCCATAAATATAGCACACCTTAAGAGTATATATATTCTTCATATATATATATATATATATATATATATATATATATATATATATATATATATATGGGCTCTTCCTTCGTTTATCGACGTTTATCAATTCAGTTCAAGCAACTCAGTTCCTAGGAACCGACAGCCAGACATCTGCATATATGATTTGATAATAGGGGTGAAGGCTTTGTGCAGAACCAACCACACTTTTTGAAGAGCCGAATACAAAGAGCTTGTTCACTGTGTGCCACAAGGTCCCCAAACGACCTTCCGCAGGTTTTGAATTCAGAGTTGTCCTTCTCTTAGACCAGTTGCCATCCAAGGCTATAGAAGACAGTCTAACCTGCTATTTACCCATAGCTAGAGGAAGAAGAATAGGATTCCCAAGGGTATTAGCACATAAGTGAATGTATCGGATTTGACTAGAAATCGAACTCAGCGCTTCTATTTCTCAATCCATTACGCCATCGTACTTCCTTGTATATATACAAGTACAGGGTTGGTACAAATGGAATAAAATTCCAATAACCAAAAGCACTATTTTTAAGAGAGTGCTCAATACTGAGTAGAGCAAATATATATATATATATATATATATATATATATATATATATATTGAACAATGAAAATTATTAAAAAATTAAAATCTTCAGACACACTGGGTTGTATATTAATATTCTTTCGTTTTTACTATTATTTCAGTTAGATTCCTCGACTAGTTTCGACCAACATGGCCATCATCAGGAGAGAAAAAAAAATTCTGCTTGCTGGTAGCAATGAACTACAGAAATGAACATCTTAATGGAGAAAATGAACTTTTGTCTGTAGTTTTCATTTGTTTTTTTAAATTTTTAACATGAATTTTGGTCAGTCCTTGTGTTGGCCAAACAGTCTCTTTTAAGTTGTTATTTAAGTTAAGAGCTGGATGGATTCATGCTGCTCTGAATTCCTTTGGTCATTTTGACAGTTTTATTGATTCCTGGAAAGGCGATGTGTCTCTGTTAAGTGTGTGTGTGTTATTTGGTTCTTAGCGAGTGAGTGAGTATGATGTATGTAAGCGTGTATATTACTGTGGGTGTGTGTTATCATTTAGCTCATTAGGGAGTGAGTGAGTATGATGTGTGCAAGTGTGTATATTCGTGTGGGTGTGTGTATAAGTGTTAGGCCTCAACGCCACCGTAAGCATGTCTGTCGTGT